TGTTATAATATGCATTATCTAATTTTTAGTTTCCTATATATTTAGTGGTCTACACCTAGGACTGTTAGTTTATCCACTTTCAGGAAATCTAGCTGGATTCAGAATTTAAATTATGTGTCAAAGCCCCCTTAACAAGCAATAGGCACAACCATCATTATTAAACTCATGCTTTCTAGCTCTTTCACTGGGCCTTGCATCCCTCCCCAGTACACTGTGACAAAGTTACTCTGTATATTCCCCTAATCCCAGTTGTTAAAAAGTATCTACATATATATATATATACATATACATATATATATACATATACACACACAACACACACACACACACACACACACACACACATACACAGATACCTCTAAAACTTTAAGAGAGTATGTTTTATATATGAGGCCACTATGCCTCTACACTTTTTATTAAAAACTATCATGGATTTACTATTTTTCTTCCTAACTAGAAGCATACCAAGGAATACACACACACACACACACACACACACACACACACACACACAATTATTATGTAGCCCAGTACTGCCAGATCACTATTATTTCAAAAGTTTGAAAATCTGGGTTTGTTTGTGAAATTTTTAAATGTTGTTAACAAATTCTAACAACCACAGAACACACTCTGGGGGCAAAAAAAAAAAAAAAACATATTGGAGTACACATGCAATAAATAATTCCTTTGGACTAGGTTGGACAGTTTATAACATCTGATGTAGTTAATACCTTTTGATGTTTTAGAATCAAAATAAATAGTATGATTTTACCTCTATATAATTCACTGACTGTATAATATTTTAGTTACATATAAATAATTAAATTATATATGTATATTTTTTGAAGAATGGATATGATAATTAAAATTATGTGAAAAAATTAAAAAAAAAACAGAATAGTACCTAGTACACATAAGGCACTAAATATATGTTTGTAGAATGAATTAAAGAATACAGGGAATAGCCAGGTAACATAAATAAGAGGGCTTGGAATTAGTGAAGGATTTTACATATGGTCAAAAAATGAGGAAAACTGAGGGTACTGGGGTGGCTCAGTCAGTGGCATCCAACTTCATCTCAGGTCACGATCTCATGGCTTGCAGGTTCGAGCCCTGCATCAGGCTCTGCGCTGATTCAGATTCTGTGTCTTCCTCTCTCTCTGCCCCTTGCCCAGTCACACACTCTCTCTCTAAATAAACAAATAAATAAAAATAATAAAAAAAAATTTTTAAACGAGGAAAACTGAAGAGTATAGGCCCTATCTAAAGAGTGGTACACTTTTTAGCTCTAGAAAATTGTTGCCATATTTTGTGATGCATAAGATAATCTGGAAACCTGGATTTTTATAAGAAGCTGCCAGTTTTTTTAATTCAAATTTCAAACGTTTTAAATCCTGTGTAGTCCAAACAAAACACATCTGCAGGCCTGATTCATCACCCAGACAATGTTTTGTTTAGGTCCTAGATTTGACTTGTATTAACTGTGTAGCCTTCAGTAAGTCATTAAAATTCTCAAATGCATCCATCAGTAAAATGGGGAGACTTGGAATTCAAAAGCTGGAAACTGTCATTCCACTACCAAATACAGCCTACAGAAAAGTTTTATTTGGTTAGCACTTTTTCTTAACCCATTTCAATGCCTTTAGATGAGGAATGCACTCTACTAATTGCCACAGGCCCTACCACTTTCTCTCATTTTACACAGACTGCTTCTTCCAGTTCATTTCCATTAACTGAGTGCCATCTATATGCAATGACGTTTCATCACTGAATTAGAAAATCTCTAAGATTTTACAGAGTTATCATGAGCATTAATTATACCTTCTCTATTTAGTTTTTACATAACCATTTGTCTATTAGAAAGTCCAGACTAGGGATTCACAAAATTATTTATACTCTTTCACAACCAGAAAGAGCCTTAATGATTATCTAGCAAAATTGAACCCTTTTGTATTACATAGATGAAAAGACTGAGGCCAAACTGCCTAAGTTGCTTGCTCAGAGCTTCCCAGTATAGTCAGTGCAGGACAATTTAAGCTGACAAACATTAACAAAATATTCACTTTGTGCAAGACCATAACCTGGAGCTACAAAGAGAAACAAGAACTGTTGCTACTTCTCCAGGGTATACAGCTAGTAAAGGGCACAGACACATTAACATGAAGTCCCTATTTAAGAGGCACATGCTAAAAGGAGAGATTAATTTGTTTCCTTTTTAGTGGGATCTGAGAAACCTCCTAAGAAGGAAACATTTGAACACGGTTTAAATAATTAGAACTCATATTATAGACAAGAAGTGAAAGCACAGCATGAAAAAGCCAAGAAGCAAATAAATGGACAGCATATTCAACAAGAGTAAGTAAATCAGCATAGCTGGGGTGGAATGATAAAAAATAATCTGAAAAAGCAAAGCATAAACAAATCCTAAGGGGCAGTGCCTCCTATTTTCTTCTTTAGCCTACTGACCCAAACACCAAGAACAGAGCTAAATATAATGGGAACACATTAATAATTTATAATGAATAAAACAGTAATGGCAGACAGAATCTAAGGTGGGATTGTTATATGTCATGCACTATACTAAACACTTCATATGCACTACCTCCTTTAATTCTCATTCAAAAATCAATGACATAGGTACTAATATTACTCTCATAGCATATATAAGTACTAAAACTCAAAAAGGATAGTTTTCCCAAAATCACACCGCTTAAAAAGTGCATTCACACCCAACTCACCTGTCTCTCCAAAGCCTATGACGTAAACCAAGATAAACTCCAACAAATGCACCGATCAGACAATTTACAATCAGATTATCAATCTCCAAGTATCAATAGCTGTACTGCAGAAGAGGGACAAGGAGAAGGTGACAGAGAAAGGCTCCTTGCCAGGGCCGATTTAACTGCATTCCCTAACCTTAAAAACGCTTCCGTCCTGAGGTCTAAGAATGCTCTGGGGAAGACAGTATAAAGCTTTAAAACTTCCTATGACCAGGGGAACCTTATCTTACTTTGGGCAACTTCAATTTCCTTGTCTGAAAAATGGTAGAGCAATACCTACACTATGCTGGATGTTATGAGAATGAGATAATGCATATAAAGCGTTTAACACAATTCCAGGCACGTCGTAAAGCTCAGTTGTCTACAACACAGCCCCTGCTCATGTAATCAAGTAACTAGAGGGGGAACTAGAAAAGTTGGAGGCTCCCAACACGGTTTGGGAGAATATAACCATATTCGGAGACTGTTTGGAAAAGAGATCCAAAATGTCCCTTGAGTGACTGATAGGTTACCCTGACTCCCTCAGGGCCATGCAATACGGCGGCGGAACGTCGGAGTAACCAAGCAGAGACTGGCCGTTCTGTTCCCCTCCACAGCCCTAAAGCCTAAGGCAGAGGGCGGCACAGGGGCTCAGTAACCGACAAACTTGCAAAGAGGCCTCCAGCCCTCTATAACTCCAAGGCGAAAGACTTACCCTAAGGCCAGCTTCCCCCTCAGATTCTGCATCCATAATGCACCTGAAACATCAACACAAGCCGTCAGCTGAGCCCACCTCCACTCCCTTCTGCCTCCCCTAAACCACTAAGAAATCCTTACCCAAACGTTCCAGTGCTGCCGCCGCCATCTTTCTCCCTCCCTCTACGGAAGCCTCCGAGTTCCTGCGCTGCCTGGACGAGGCGAGTGCGCAAGTCTCAGGTTGCCCTCCCCTGCAGCAGACGCAGCAGTATTTACACCCGCGATGTTGTCATGGAGACCGCGAACGCGCTGCCTGCACTTCAGATGTGATCCGGCCAGCTTTGCCTGGGAATGAATGACTTTAATAAAGGCCAAAAACTAGGGAGTTTCCGGAAACTCATCAGGATCCCGAGAAATTGAGAAACTTCACCTCACAAACGTTCTGAAAGGATTAGAAAAAACAGAGACAGTGAACAAGCCACCTAACGTGGGTGGGCCTCAGTTTTCGTGTCAGAGAAACAGAAATAACGATCCCTACCGCAGAGGCTTGCTGTAAAAATCACGAGATCATGTGGAAAGCTCTTTTAAAGAAAAAAACAGCTCAAATACAAAGTACGATATCCTAATCCCTGTTAATCTCCAGGTTGGCCTCCAAGAGATAAATTAATATACATCAGGAATTTGCTATCATATATGCCCGGCAGGCATTTCACTAAATCCCAAGTATTCCTCACAGCAATCCAACAAGACATGGATTATCATCTTCCTTCTCCAATGAGGAAACAGATTCGTTTAGGGTAAATTCAGATAACTGGCAAAATCACTAATTCAGTGTAGGACCGGATGCCTCGGAAGTTAGTGCCCCTACCCACAACCAAATATGTTTGACCTCTCTGTATTAGAATCGATATTTCAGGTTTCGTTCGCTACAGATGCAGGAGTGCCAAGTACGCTATGCAAACAAGCAACACAGGGGCAGGAGAGTGTAAACGCAGAATCTGAAATTTCCATTCCTTTTCCTCCACAGCAGTCCCTTTCATAGAGTCGGCAATCAACGAGGCCATTCTATTCTACTCCTCTTTGGGTACCAAGACTCTAGAGCCAGAATTTCCAGCCAGTTGCAGAATCTCCTCCTTTCCTTTCAGATTTCTGATTCGAACTTTTATCTTTTTGCTACCTGGCTTGCTGTAGGTATCTTTAAAGAATCTCCAGAGTTAGCAAAGTGCCCAGAGCGTTCAAAAATACTTGACGGGATAGAGGTTGAACAGGTCCAAAAAGTAAAGCTGCTGTGCGGGGAGGTGACTCCGCTAGACTAACCCTTTAATTATGTGCCTTGCTGTAGGAGGTGAAAATGCCTAACCCCTAGGCTGGACTGTGGCAGCACCAGACCTTCCGGCCCCGGGCGGGGCTGCGGGGCAGAGCGCCAGGCTCGCGTCAGCTTTCTTCCCAGCCCGGGGGCTGCGGGACCGGAGCGCGCGGTGCCTCCTGGGCCTCGGCGCGCGCCGTAGCGGCGGGCCCGGCGAGGCGGGGCTCCGAGCCAACCCCGCCCCCTTCCCGGCTACGGAGTGGGGCTGCTATCGGTCTGCGCCTGTGGCTCGTTCGTCTTTTCCCAGTGGCCTGTGATCATGGGGCAGGAGCCGCGCACGCTGCCGCCCTCTCCTAACTGGTACTGCGCCCGATGCAGTGATGCCGTGCCTGGGGGCCTCTTCGGCTTCGCGGCGCGGACCTCCGTTTTCCTTGTCCGCGTGGGCCCGGGCGCCGGCGCGATCCCTGGGACGCCCCCATTTCGAGGTAACTCCCCACCTCTGGGCCCCCTCCTTCCTGCCCTTCTTGGGTTCGCCAGAGGCGCTAAGTGGGTTTTTCTAGCTACCCTTCTCTACAGATGGGGAAACTTGAGGCCCAGGTAGGCAGAAAGATCTCTCAGAGTCACTAAGCTTAGTTGCGTCCGTATCTCCAAGATTGAGCTACACCACGTTGTGGCTGAGCAGTCCCGCCTCCTGGTGCTCTCACGTCGGACCGCTCACTCCCTGAAGTTATCCCTATCCAGACCCAGGCATTTATAACATGTGTGGCCTCCCTCCCCCTACGCAGCGCGCGCCGGCCCCCTAGAAGCCTTTCTGGGTTTAAGGGGCTGCCTACAGCGCCAGGCCCTACGCAAGATCCTGCAAATACAGAATACTCGTTGCTGTAAGATTAATGTGTTGAGCCAGATGCTTTCGGGCTCCAGACTAGATTTTGATCATGCCTTGGGATGTGGCAAGCCAGGTATTTCTTGTTTCCCAAATGACCTCTGGCCAGATCTAAATAAGAATCACTTTTACATTCTTCATTTGAGCCACTCCTCAGCCTGTGAACGGTCAGCACCAAGGGATAGCAACAGCATTTTACCGTTGAAAAGAGTGAGGCTCAAGGAGATAAAATGACTGGGCTGAAGTCCTGTGGCAGAGCCAGAACCAGCACTTGGGATTTCTGATTGTGAGTGCCTGGATATTTTTGTTATACCACGGGATAAGTGAGGTCCCACCCCACCCATCTAAGAACAGAATGATTCTGCCAGGAATCTCAGGTAGCACTCTAACCTGGAATCTGGTTTTGCTTGAAGTCATAGGGGAATTGGTGGGACACACCGAAAGGGTCTCTGGCTTCACGTTTTCACATCACCCGGGTCAATACAACCTCTGTGCCACGAGCTCTGATGATGGGACTGTGAAAATCTGGGATGTGGAGACAAAAGCAGTTGTGACAGAGCATGCACTCCATCAGGTACCATGGCTTACTGGTTTCTCAGACCATTATTAGATATGTGTGCTGAGGGTTCTTTTGTTTCAAGTATGCTAGCTCATCTGTTAACTTTTATGATAATGTTCATTAGTTGGATGAGAATAAGATGCCTCAAAACTTTTTTGGAAGGAGATAACGTATAAACCAGAGGTCAGCAAACTACAGTGTGCTGCCTGTTTTTGCAGATTGTTTTATTGGAATACTACCACAGTCAATTCATTTAAGTATTGGCTGCTTGCATACTACAAGGCAGACTTGGGTAGTTGCACTAGGGACAGTATGGCCCACAAATCAAAAAATATCTACTATCTGGTTCTGTCCATGAAAAAGACTCCTAATATAAACTGTAAATGAGTGAATAAAACTTGTTTCTAAACCAGATGATTACTTGATAAACCTGCCTTTTCAGAGAGTGTAGAAAAGGAGAAGACTCATTTAATCTTAGTAAGAACTTTGCATTAAGTTATTAAAGGAAGAAATGGTTTTAATGGTTCCTTGATCCTTAGGAGCTTAAATTCTTCTACCACTTGGTTAATGTACTCTTGGCACACAAGTGGTACTAACACTAATTAAGTACCCCTCAACGTGCCTAGTACAGTACAGGTTTAAAATGAGGTAAAAATTCAGCATTGACAAATGAGAAGCAAATGTGTGTTTGTTTTGTTTTAAAGCATACAATATCAGCATTGCACTGGTCTCCTCAAGTAAAGGATTTAATAGTATCTGGAGATGAAAAAGGAGTAGTTTTCTGTTACTGGCTTAACAGAAATGACAGCCAGCACCTCTTTATAGAACCCAGGACAATTTTCTGTCTTACTTGCTCACCTCATCATGAAGATTTAGTAGCCATTGGGTAAGTACTATCCCCTCTGTATTGGTAATTTATTTTTGTTAATGAGCATATTTTGCATTTGCTTTATCTTTTCCTGTCCCTTTATTCTTCAAAGGAAATGATTTATAGGTATTAACCACTTCTTGGGCCCTTGGTAGCCTTTATTCCTATGACCTCCAGGTCCTCGCTATCTCTCTCACTGTCTTTTTATTTCCTTAGTTTCTTCGATAATGTACTTTGCTCATTCTTCATATCTGATTTCTTCAGTCAGCCTCCAAATGTAGGAAATACCCTCTTTCCCCCTTTTTCTCCCTCAGTACTCAGGCTTACAGATAACATTTACTCCCGGAGTGTCAGAGGACTCAGTTCTGTCCTGGTTCTCAGCCCTCCCTCTGGATTGGGAGAGTGGTTTGGCATTGGGCTCTGCCTCCACCTTGATCAATCACCAAGGTTGTTTCACATGAACTGCCTTGAGCAGGCACCCCCCTTTCCCTCACCACTCCATTTACCTCTATCCCAAAGATGTCCTTTCACACTAGTTTGAACACATGACATAAGCACTAGAGTGTTGGAGGAGAAAGTATGGTGGGAGTGGACTCAAGAGACTGAAGGTACAATAGCGAAGGTACACGTGGAGACAGCAAACTTTTGTTTGTTGAACAAATGTGCGTAGACATGAAGCCAGAGGAGGTATGTGGCAGTTAAGGGAATATTAAATGGAAAATAATAAGGGCATGTTTTTATGCTGATGGAAATGAGGCAGAAGAGGGAGAGCTGAATACACGGAAAATGTAGTAAATACAGGAGTGATGTTGAGAAGTCAAGAGGGGATTGGATCCAGATCACAAGTAGAAAGGATAAGTGAGAACATGGAAATAGGGCAGGTGAGTTTGGAGATCTGGTTGGAAGAGGAGGGTGTTTCATCCTCCTGGCTTCTGCTTTTCTCCGCGAGGCATAAATCAGAAGGTGGAGTCAGGTTCAGAGTGGGGCTGAAAGCATGCAGAAAGATGTGAAAATAGTCCTCTCAGAAAATAGGAAAATGAGCTTACTGAGAGAGAATGTAGGACAAATGGTCCCTATTGAGTGCCAGGCTATGGATCAAAGTTATGAATTCAAAGTAAACTATTCAAGCTGATTGAGAAAGACTTTGGTTGGATTCAAGAAGGTTTGGGGTTTTGTGGAATAAATACCTCTAAGAGAGAGGGCACAAAGGAGCTAATGGTGTTTTTAAAGTTGTAATCATAATGATGGATCATGAAATCTGTGGCCTGAGGGAAAGGATAGGAAGACAGGTGTGGGAGCTTAATAGTGAAATGGAAGGGATCTGTGCATGCACGCATTGGTGACCTGCTAGGTGAAGTGGCAGCAGTGGTACACTGGGGCACTAGAGAGGGAGCAGAAAAGGTGGCAGGTAGGGATCAGAGAAGGTTGAATCAGACCAACCTTGAAAGATGAGCAAGAATTCACAAGAAGAAATCTTTCAGGTATAAGGAACTGCATAGACACAGGATTGAATCAGAATGATTTGTTTCTGGAGGATCTTCAAAATGGTGATCCTTCTCTAAAGGGCTGATTAAAATTGCAGGACAGCTCGGTTACTGGACTATAAGGTTGCATAACTTGAAGGTTTTCAAAGTCTGTGTCTGCAAAGACCGATAACAGTCTATGATTTTTTTTTTTTAAATAAAGCTGTAATGGGGGAAATGTTTCTAATAAAAGAAAAATAAGTAGAGCTGGAATGTGTTTTTCCCTGTAGGATTGTCTAGTATGTAGGAAATGTAAATAGGTACAACCGCTTTGGAGAGCAGTTTTGCACATTCTAGTAAAGCAAAGGTGTACACATCTTACATCCTGGCAGTTCCATTACTAGGCATCAAATCTGAAATTGTCTTAAGTGTGCATAAGATTATTAATGTCATTTTTTTGTTTGTAATAGCAAAAAACGGAAGCCCTTCAAAAGGGAAAATGAATAAACTTGTGCTGTCTTCATCAAGGGAATGCTATCCAATAGTACAAATGACTGACCAGGAACTAGAGTTACATGCTTCAACATGGATGACTCACTAACAGTGAGTGAAAAAAAAACAATCTACAGAAAAACAGACCTCATGATACCATTTCTATGAAGTTTTAAAACCTACAAAATCATCTTCTGTCATCTTTAGGAATCTATACAAAGAAAGGCTAGGAATGTTGGAACACAGAATTCACCAATATCAGTTTACCTCTGGGAAAAGAGAGGGAAAGAGGTTTGATTGGGGTGGGATGTACAAAGGATTTCAACTATATTGGTAATTGGGTGTATTCTTTTCTTAAGCTGGTTCTTGGGTATTTATGTGTGTGAAAAAACTATTAGAATTTCTCAGTTTCCTCTGAATTCAAAAATGATAGTCTTGAAATATCCAGATCTAGAAGCTACAGTACTGCAGCTTTTGTTAAGTTCATAGTTAGAGAAATAGGATCACGTATTTAAAAAGGGGCAGGGAATAGGTTTAAGTGCATTATGTCAAATTCATCTGGAATTAGAGGGATTGCTGGGCCCACAAATAACCATTCTTCTGTAAGTTCCCTTCAAACACAAGCATGCTTTATACCTTGAGCTTGCTGCCAGGCAGTCAATGCAATATTACTTAGTGCCAAGAGCTTGATTGGAGAGGTGGGGCACAAATGTGTCAGGACCACCAGGAAACAGAAAGTGAACACTTTGGAAAAAAGGGCAAAACAAGATTCTTTCTTTCTTCCCTTCCCTCTTCCCCCAAATACACTTACCTTTTAGAAGTGTACAGTGATAACTCTTAAGTCAGAATGTTTACTCTTCTGTCTTCGTTTTCCAGTAACATTTCTAACTCTTGTTTTTTAGTTACAAGGATGGCATAGTGGTTATAATTGACATCAGTAAGAAAGGAGAAGTTATTCACAGGCTTCGAGGCCACGATGATGAGATTCACTCCATAGCCTGGTGTCCCCTGCCTGGCGAAGATTGTTTATCCATAAGTCAAGAGGAAAATTCAGGTAGAGATGATTTAAGACCTAAAGAACAATGTGGATAAAACTGTATCATTTGAATTACATTTAAAACTTTAGCTCTTACAGTTCAGATCTATAAATGTAATATCTAAGTTTTAGGATCCCTTGAAAACTAGTTTTTCTTTTGACAAGTTCATGTTTCATGTAAATTAAAAACAAAATTACCATCTCTACCCTAGAAGAACCTGCAATTCCCAATGGTAAAGTCACAGCACAAACTCCAGTAACAAAAGGCTGCTACTTAGCCACTGGAAGCAAAGATCAGACCATTCGAATCTGGAGCTGCTCTAGAGGCCGAGGTAAGATTCATGTTTGGTGTTTCTTTTGTGATATAACCTATAGTGACTGGTAGAAGTAGAAACTTTTTTATTGTGTCTTGTTATCCTAAGAGTGTGTCATCAGCTAGAAGGCAGTTCTTTACTTTTCTATCCAGAAAGTTGCTTCACCAGTTTAGCCTGGGCTAGAACTCCCTGTGCTCTGAACATCTGACTTTGGTTTTGGACCAAAGAGGGTTTCTGATGCGTTCATAGAAGGGTCATCGTTTGTCATGGAAGGCAAGATGTTGGTTATAAGGATAGGAATGTTGGAACTTGGCAAGGCCTGAATCAGAGGATTGGGAAAGATCTCTAGAGCTAAAGGTTTTAATACACAAATGCAGAATAATACGTACCCAGTGTAGAAGCGCATGTTTAAATGTTAAAGTTCATTTTATCCAAATTACAGGGACCCTCAGTCATTCGGCTTTCCCAGGCTTCTCTCTTTGAACAGAACTTTTGCCTTCAATTTATAAATTGAGAGGAACTCCAAGCAGAGTGGATGTTACACTTATAGTAAAACTCTAGCCTTTGTCTTTATAGCAGTCTTCTTTCTCTATATGCTTTAGTGCATATAAAGCAAATAGCATAGTGCTTGGCCATAATTCTAACATAGTCAGTGGTAACTAATACAATAATTTTGGAAAATGGAATTTTTTTAAAGAATTTTGGACTGCTTTTGGAGATACTAGGGCTGATACTCCCAGGTGGAACAACATAAGGCCCAGGATCCCTCCAGAAGGGTAACTTCTAAACCTTTGTTAGATTTCTTGCCACTCTCCCCTGCCAACTTTGGAGAATCTGGAGTTGTGTTACTACCTATGTTCACAATTCCGGTTGAAACCCCATTTTCCCAAACAGACAATATTAATGTGTGCTCAGGTTGCCAGGATAGCCTATAAAAAGTTTGTTTTACCTGAATTAGACAAGTATTAAAACTATGTGTAATAATGTTTCCATGAGAAAATGAGGTCTGCATTCTAAGTAACCAAACTAACAAACTTTTAAACTGTACTGTGAATTGCTGGGGACTTCGCACGTGTGTTTTCACTGACTTGAGCACCCACCGACTTTCTTTCCATCTGCAGGGGTGATGGTTTTGAAATTGCCCTTTCTGAAGAGAAGAGGAGGGGGTATAGACCCAACTATTAAAGAACGCCTTTGGTTGACACTCCATTGGCCCAAGGATCAACCAACACAGCTGGTATCCAGCTGTTTTGGGTAAGTTTTTCTGGTCATGCCCTCTCTGACATATTTTGTTTTCCTCTCTAGCTTCTTGAGGAATTCCTAGGCTCCTCTTTCTAGACATAGAAGATGGAAAAGGCAAGGGCTAAGGCTTATACTGTGACAGGCCATTTGTAATGGAAAAATCATGGGACAGATACCTGTGTTGTCCACTTACAGTGCTGAAAAAAGACCAAATAAGTATAGCCTGGTAATTAAGAGCTTGGACTCCAAAGTCAGACCAAATTGCATTTCCAAATCCGTCTCTTACCTTCTATGTGTTCATGAGTGTGACCCTTCGAACTTCAATTACATCATGTGTAAAAGAGGGAGCTTAGAGAATTCCCATCTCTTTGGATGATTATAGCCATTCATTGAACAGAATTTAGTGAGTACTAGCTTCTAGTTGTTTGAGGTAATAAGTGAATTTAGCAGATAAAGGCCCTGATTTCAAATGAAATGGTACAGGGAAAGCAGATAAAAATCCCCCCTAAAATGCTGGTCATGGCCCTACTCTCCCACACCATCCCAAAAAAGAGAGAGTATAGTATGTGTTTAAGCTTTGGGGGTGTGCAAATTATGGTGGCATTTTACTCTTAAAACTGTTAGGAAAATCTGTTCCAGAGGAAGTGCAGCACATTGACGGGGTTCAAAATTAGGTAAGAACCAGAGTTGCTCTGTCTCAAGCAACTAGGTTCCCTTCCCCATAGACAGTGACACCTTGTTTTTGTGTGAGTTCTTTCTGAGCTGTTCTGTGCACATTTCAGAATATGCAATTTTTTTCTCCTTAAAAGAACAACTGATAGAAATTATTTGGCAACTGAGGGCCCACACTCTCCCCACATCTCTTGTTTCCAGATTGCTTGTGAAAGAGAACTAGTGCTTGTTTTTCCTCACAGAGGTGAGCTGTTGCTGTGGGATCTCACTCAGTCCTGGAGACGGAAATATACCCTCTTTAGTGCTTCATCAGAAGGGCAGAATCATTCAAGAATTGTGTTTAACTTATGCCCTTTACAAACGGAGGACGACAAACAGCTGCTGCTTTCCACATCAATGGATAGAGATGTAAGCACTGCTTAGTTTGCATTCACCATTGTAGGGCCCGTGATTTAGGAATTGGATAGGATCAGAGGGCTTTTCAAACCATCCATCAGTTCTCACGCCCCGCCTTACACCCCCATGCCCAGCCCAATCTCAGAGTTACTGTTACTGTTACTGACCAGAGCTAACTGTGGGAACAGCAGAGAGTTAGGGGAAAGGTGAGAAACCACCAAGATGCCTTTTTGTTAGAGCAGCTACGGTGAAAGATCGTAGATGTGTCCAGGGAAGGATGTATGAGACCATCATGCTTTGGCTTTAAAATATTCTTGTCTATAGTTAAGGTAGCAGAACCATCTGCTCTTGATGAAATCTCCAAGAGAGAATTGGCTATATTTAAGAATCTGTGACTTCATTGTTTTGCAGTTAGGCTAGGCTTATTTGATAGACTTTGTTTTCTCCCAAACCTCTCTGTTAAATGAGTGAAGATTAAAAATGTAGCATTCCTCCTTCCCCTGGGGATAAGATATTTTGCTTTTTGAGATAGCCCCTCTCATTTTCCCACTGTCCTGAGACCATCTTCATTCTTAGTTAGGATTTGCTAAATGAGATTACCAGTGCTGTAGTACAGTACAGTGGAAAGGCTGCTGGACTCTGGGAAATGAGCGGCCTGGATCTGGTTTTATTCATTTACCCTGAATTCACTTAACATCTCTGGGAATAAATATATTCTAAGATCCCTTTGGGCCTACAATTTATTACTTTTTCTTTTCCTAAGAAATACTTTTCCTACTACCTATTAGAATAAATTATATTTGTATATTATAATATATATTCTTTATATGTTATTATTATATATTCTTTATATTACCCATTCTTTGAGTCCATCCTGTTTGAGATGTTGATTCTTTATCCTGTTTTTCTGATTTTTTTTTTTTTTTTTTTTTTTTTTTTTTTAAATTTAAACCCAAACCCTGGATATTTTTAGGTAAAATTTTGGGACATGGCCACCCTAGAGTGCTGCTGGTCCCTGCCTTCCCTTGGTGGATTTGCCTACAGCCTGGCTTTCTCTCCTGTGGACATGGGCTGTTTGGCCATAGGTGTTGGAGATGGTATGATCCGCGTATGGAATACACTCTCCATAAAGAACAACTATGATGTGAAAAATTTTTGGCAGGGGGTCAAGTCCAAGGTTACAGCGGTAAGGATGATTTCTTTGAGCTCTCTTGAACTTTTTTTCAAATAAGTAGTTGTTTTAGTAAGAAATCTGGAATAACCTGCATGTGCACTCACAGAAAATACATAAAGTTATAAACACATAATAAACAGTATCACACTATTAAAAATGATAATGTGGCTCTTTATTTGATGTGGAAAGATGTTGATGTTTCATGAAAAATGAAAATTACAAAACATGGAATGCAGGTTACACAACAATATGTATAATTTTTTTGTTTTTCTCCAAAGTGATACCTCTGTTGTGGCTCTTTAGTCTAAAAGCAGTAAATGTTTGTGGTTAAAAAGAAGACCATACAGAATTGTCATATCACTATATTGTTCACCTGAAACTAATACAACATTGTATGTCAATTATACTTTAGTGAAAAAAAAAAATTGTACCAATTAAAAGGGAAAAAAAGAAAACCAAACAGTATAGGAGTGTAGGAAGCAAAATATTTTCCTACTCTCCATTGCATGCTCCCACTTTCATTATCCAGAGAAGCACTGTTGACAACCTGTGATATATCTTTCCAAATTTTATTATTAACAGGATCTTATTTTCTAAACTATTCTGGAATCTTTTATCCCCACTTAACAGTGTTTCATACACATCATTTAAATATTTGAGCCTATTTTTTTTTCAACTGTATGTATTTAACTTTATTCATAAAAAAATATCTGGCAAGATATAAAATGGGCAGTGCGGTGTTTTGAACAAGTGAGATTACCAGTGACTTTCACATTGTTTTTAATACTTTGTTTCTTTTAAATAATGAGAATTTGTTACTTTTTAAATTAGGAGACACCAAGAGCGTGAAAGTGTTCCATTTGGATGCTCAAAAGATAACCTAAGGGCTCCCTTAACAGTATGCCGCTTCCCTCATGTTTTCTAGCTGTGCTGGCACCCAACCAAGGAAGGCTGTTTAGCTTTTGGAACTGATGATGGAAAAGTGGGATTGTATGACACCTACTCCAACAAGTAAGAAATAAAAGATTGTTTAGCCCATTGACCATAATGTAGATGATGGAGTTAATTTTGATTCACAAACCTGGGTATATGTCGGAATTGGCCTGGGAAACATCTTTCAGATTCTGGCTCTGAGTCTGAGGCTTACAGCTTGGAATTTGATTTTTAAATGTTTTCAGGTGGTGGTTCAGCCTGTCTGACCTATGGTTACCACTAAAATAAACCATTGTTTTTTTTTTTTCCCTCAGCTTTTCTTAACAAAAGTTTTCAGGCATCCATGAGCATTGAAAGCATAGTACAAAGAACATCTCTGCCTTCCATCTAGATTCACCAACTGTTAACCGTTTGCCATACTTGCCTTATTTTTGCACACTTAAAATTAACAGTAATTCCGTAATATTTAATATCCAGTCGATGTACAGATTTCCTCAATTGAGCCAAAAATGCTTTTCCTAGCTATTTTTTTTTTTCAAATTCATTTTTAGTTTGGGTTCACACACTGCATTTTGTTAGGTCTCTTTAGTCTCTCTTATTCTAGAATACCACCCCCACTTCTTTCATAACATTTGCCTTTTCAGTTTGAAGATTCTGGGTAAGTTTTTTTGTGGAATATTTTACATTTTGGTCTTTGTGTTGACTTCTAGCTCATATCAGTATTCCCTATATGTCCTGTAAACTAGAAGTTATGTATTGAGCTTCATCGTCCATTCTGGTTGTCCTTAGCCAAGGGGACTACTGGGATATGCTGTCAGTGTAAAATGCATGCCAGAGTTCAGAGATAGTCCCTCCCCCGCCTCCAAATTAAAATGTCTCAGTAATTATTTTGATTATATTTTAAAAGATAATACTTTTGTATATTGAGCTAAATAAAATACATCATTATAATTGAATTTCACTTATTTCTTTTGCTTCTGTTAATGTGGCTACAAGAAAGTTTTAAGATGCCTATGTGGTTCATACATAAAACTCACATTATGCAACTGTTGAACACAGTTATCCTAGATGCTTGAGTAGATTCCATAACTGCACCGTTCAGTTTGATAGCCACATGTGGCTATTCACAGTTAAAAGAACTAAAATTTAATAAAATGAGAAGTTCAGTTCCTTGGTCTCATGAGCCACATTTCAAGTGCACAAGGCCCAGTGCTTACTGAGCAGCACTGTTCTAGACCAGGGATTGGGGAGCCATGGCTCATGAATTAAGAATGGTTCTACCTTTTTAAATTATTGGGAAAATATTAAAGAATATTTCATCACATGAAAATTAAATAAAATTCAGATTTCAGTGTCCATAAACAAAGCTCTTATTGGAACCCGGCCACACTCATTTGTTTACACCTTATCGGAGTGTGCTTTCACACTACCAGAGCAGGGTGAGGGAGTTATGACAGAGACCTCAAGGGTCAAAAAGCCTTAGATATTTACTGTCTGTCCTTTTACAGGGTAAGTTTGCCTACCTGTTCCAGATCATTCATTTCTAAGTAAGAATTATTTACTATACTCAGAGTTAACCTTTTTAGATGCAATTTTGAGGTACACATGTGAACCTACATGCACTTAGTTACCTGCATTCTTTCGTTCTGCAGCTGGTTAACTCCACTTTCAATTCTCAAAAAATAATACACTATTGCAAAGAGGCATGTAAGAAAATAAAACTATATGTCATCACAAAACTGACTAATTCTATGAAATTACTATCTTCTGGTTATTATGAGGTGTGTAGTAGAAGGAAGGGTGCTGCCCTAGATACACTGTTAGGCATTCAGCCACAGATATTTATTCTGTTTCTTTCAGCCCAGAGAAATTGGGGTTGATTGTCCAGAATGGCAACAACAAATGTGCCAGAAACATAGAAATAAATAAGTCAGCAGCTAGTTTTGTCATAGGTTCTGGATTCCTGGAATTCTCAAATCCTACAAAGAATACAGTTTACAGGAAAGGTAACAGCCACACTGCCCATTACTGACACCTCACATGTCATTAATCACCACAGTCTTCAAAATTACCCTCAAGAGCAAGTTTTCTTACAAAAACTTTAAAACTGAACTATTCTAAAATCTTGTCTTACTTTAAGAATATGATATTAATGACAGGGTAAGCCTAAAATGACTTCTAGTCTTTTATCTGAAGGGGAGATGGGTTATATTTATATGATGACTGTATATGCTTAGCAGTAACCGTAGTTCTGGGCTGACTAGTTTGCATTTTCTGCCTTGTTCAGTATTTCTCCAGTTGTGATAGCCTTTACAGTGCTTATAACTACAGTAATATTAGAATACGTGACATTTAAGTAAAGTGGGCAACTAAGAGAGATGGGGGGGAAAAGTTATTACAAACTGGCCAGATTTGGGGGGGGATAATATTTTTTTCTGGGTAAAGTGTGTTTGGGACTTTATCATTTTGGTAGTAGATATCATTACATGGTATATTATTGAAGTGTTGGCTTCTCTACAATCAGCTATTTGGAGAACGATGCTGTTAAATTGCTTTTCTCTAACATCAGCAACCAATAAGGGAGCTTTTAGAAAAAGATGGGTCTGTTTTTCCACTGTGTCTTCTGTTTAAATCTTTCTTTGTAATCCCCCTTCCCTCCAGACCGCCACAGATTTCTAGCACGTATCATAAGAAGACTGTGTACACTTTAGCCTGGGGGCCACCACTGCCCCCCATTTCCCTCGGTGAGTATCTGAGCCATTCTCTAGCAAACATGAGAGTATTCTCTTTCTTTTAATTTAATTGTAAGACACTCAAGCTGGAAAGTTATAAATATTCTAGTGCAGTGACTGCTTATGCAGACTACTGTGTCCCCAGGGGTCCATGAGGGCAGTCATAGCAGGTGATGTTAGAAATCATTCGCCCATATTAAGCATCCCCAAACTCTTAAGCATTATTTGGTCTCTTCTAGCTGATTTTTCCATTGTGCATGTAGTTGTCTCATGTTGGCTCCTGGTATCCAACCTAAAATTTGTTCACCAAAATTTGCTATCACTTTTTAATTTGATCAGAATTAGAATATTATTTAACTATAGTAATGCAGTAATGATTATCTGTTTTCACCTATAGTTACAGCAAACTTAGAATTCCTGAAATGATCTCTTGTCTTTACTGTATTCTGACCCTTTCCCTCTTCTGGCTGCTCAGCCCTCTCTTTCTTATCCCTAAAGAGATAGGTCTTTCAGAGTATCTTTTAAAATAAGTGTATTCATGGGGTGCTTGGATGGCTCAGCTGCTCTAGCATCTGACTCTTCATTTCAGTTCAGGTCATGATCTCACAGTTCATGGGAGCCCATGTCGGGCTTCACGCTGACAGTACAGAGCCTGCATGGGATTCTCCCTCTGCCCCTCTCCCACTCATGCATGCACTCCCTCCCTCCCTCTCTCTTTCAAAATAAATAAACTTAAAAAAAAAAATCAGTGTATTCAGATGTTTTTGGTTAACTTTTCTTAACCAGCTATAATGAAACATCTGTCCATTTCCATAGTAATTGCACTACACAGAGAGGATAATGGAAGTCATGAGAACTCAAGCAGCCCCGTAGTTGTAGTTCATTCCTTCATTCATTTAACAACTTTATTGGATTCTTGATTTGCACCAGGCATAGTTCTAGCAGTAGAGAAAATAAAACTTGTCCTTACAGAAACCAACAAGAACCACTGTTTGCTTGTTAAAGGTCAACAAGAAGATTGCCATAATACTAAAGAAATCATTGCTCTGAGGACAGCTTGTGACTTCCTATAACTTAGAGTTAGTCATAGGAAAGCCTGCAGCTCCATATATTTAAATGCCCAAAGAGTAGGGTGCTCATTTCTGAAACAAAAGGCAAATTCTCATAAACACTGAGAACATGTTTTTTGACCCCAACTTTGGCACCCGTACTATTTGAATGGCAGAAGAGTGTTTAAAGCAGATCTGTTACATTAGAAATATTAGTTTAGATTTAGTGTCTTTTTACTTCTCCCAACAACTGTGTTCATATACAAAGAACAGTGACTTTATTCTGGTGTGTTAATATAATTCTTTTAAAACAACTCAGACTATGCTATACTTGTACTGTAGTAACCAGTAGTTAAGCTGCTGAATTGCAAAAATGATAAGCTTTCTTTCCTTACCTCATTTAGGAGGAGAAGGAGACAGACCTTCCCTTACTTTATACAGCTGTGGAGGGGAAGGGATTGTCTTACAGCATAACCCTTGGAAGCTTGGTGGAGAGGCCTATGACATCAACAAACTAATCAGGGACACCAATTCAATCAAAGTGAGTTCTTATGATGTAAAGTCTTCTCCAAGTCTCTACATCTTCTTGGTTTCCCATTTTGCATAATAAATGCCATTATTAAAGATATCCATTATGCTCACTCAGATTTCTTAGATGTTCTTAAGAGCTTCAGTGAATTTGTGATTTATAAAACATAATGTAGAAGTCTTTATACCTGAGTAAAGCAAGGAACTTAACCACAAAAGAAAAATTTTGTCTCAATTGCCATGGTGTTTTATGATAAACTTTCAGATCTTGGATATGAAGCATCCTTTTTAGGCCAGCTACTTCCTCCAGAGTGAGACCTTGGTAAAGATAACTATAATATGGTGGCCAAGTGTGGCTAGAAGGTATTTTGCTCAAGACAGAATTGCCATTTTAATTTTCCATTTTTTAGTGAAATAATTAACACATTTACACAAAATAATACAAATAATTCCCTTTTATCCTTGACCCAGATATCCACATTTAATCACTTTTGCCTTACCATTTTATCAACGTCAGAACTGTCTTTTGAAGTGAAATATGTTGAGGGTTCTTTTACTCTTTCAAATAAGTATTTTTATTGGTGCTCATTATTTTTGAATGGCTAGCATAAAAATTACATTTAGTCATAAACTGAATTATTTTTATTGACTATATCCCTTCATTAAATGTCTCAACATTAACATTCAGCAATGAATAAAAGAGACAAAATTCCTGTTCCTAATGAGCTTTTAGTTTTGTGGCAGTTGAATATATATACAAGGAAGGGTGCCTGGCTGGCTCAGTCAGTGGAGTATGCGACTCTTGATTTTGGGGATGTGGTTTCAAGCCCCATATTGGGTGTAGAGATTACTTAAAAGTAAAATCTTTAAAAAAAAAAAGAAAGAAACTTGGAATTCCTTCACGTGAATGGTAGCTGATAAAGCTGTTGGGCATACATGAGGTGGTCTAAAGAGACAAGTAAGAAAACAAGAGGGCCCAGTCAGCCTTGGGGAAAGACCAACAGAGTTATTAAAAAAAGGAACAGGAGGGGCGCCTGGGTGGCGCAGTCGGTTAAGCGTCCGACTTCAGCCAGGTCACGATCTCGCGGTCCGTGAGTTCGAGCCCCGCGTCGGGCTCTGGGCTGATGGCTCAGAGCCTGGAGCCTGTTTCTGATTCTGTGTCTCCCTCTCTCTCTGCCCCTCCCCCGTTCATGCTCTGTCTCTCTCTGTCCCAAAAAAATAAGTAAACGTTAAAAAAAAATTTTTTTTTAAATAAAAAAAAAAAAGAAAAAGGAACAGGAAAAGGGAAAGGAAAGAGAAAGAGAGGGAGGGGAGAGGAGGGAAGGGAAAGGAGAGGGAAAAGAAGGAAGAAAAGAAATAGAAATAGGAAGAAAACAAGGCCATGTGTATGTGTGTATGTATGTATATGTATGTATATGTATAGACGTGTGTGTGTGTGTGTGTATATATATATATATATATATATATATACACACACACATATATATATATATGTTACTTATTTTGTTAAGGAGACATGACCCCCACGTTCTTAAAATGGACATATTACACTCTCTGTTGTGGGATAAAAATTAAAAAGTTTATTTTACAAGGTTAGACACTGTAGACATTGGGTATTTACTAGCCTCTCTTGTTTGTCCCAATTAAGGAAATTACAATTTGAATATTTGCTCTTAGTAACTCTTTGGCTAATTATGTAGATTATGTACAAGTTGTAAAATTAGAACATTTTAAACTAGGGATTTTTTTTCTCATGCTGTCATCATTGATTTGTAAGATATGCAGAGAGAAGAACAGTGTGCTTTTAGTCAAGATTGGTTTGTTTTGCTTTCTAGTACAAATTGCCTGTACACACAGAGGTCAGCTGGAAAGCAGATGGCAAAATCATGGCCCTTGGCAACGAAGATGGGTATGTGTTTGTTTCTTAAAAAAACACAAATTCAGAAAACTTTGTTTTTGTATGTATTACACATTTGATCCAAAGCTGACTAATGCCATCTATAGTTTTAGTTGGGGTAGCCTAGTTGAATATGATATTCTGATCTGTCCTTAATATCCTTGAATGATCTGGAAGCTCTTTGTATTTTTGAGAATGCAAAATAAGTTGGGTATTTTCAGTCTAAAGAAATGTTTGCCCATTCAGTGTTTCAGCTGTGTTATGCTTCACAAAATGTTGGTCTGCACTGAAATGCATAAATCGTCCTTCATTTTTTTTAAACTAAGCCTGGGAAGAAATGGTTTTTAGACCTCACCATGCTCTTTCCAATGTTGATCCTAATTACATAGTCCTAATTTAGCCATTGGCTCATTAATTCTTTTAGCTTTTCCATAGCACCGTTTATTACAAGAGCCTGATAAACACAACTGCTGCCCAGAGATTGATGGGATTTTTTCAAAGCTGAATACATTTGTTTAAAAAAACAACTTTTTGTTTTTGACTCTCTATAAGAGAGTGACCTCTGCAGTGATAGATAGGGTTATCCTATTCCATTTCACCTTTAGTTGAGTGATGGAATGAGGGAGATACTTGTTTGCATTAGATTGTAATTTGACCATCCATCTTTCTTGTCTCATGGGTTTGTGACTCCAGATCAATAGAAATATTTCAAGTTCCCAACCTGAAACTGATATGTACCATCCAGCAGCATCACAAGCTTGTGAATACCATTAGCTGGCATCATGAGCACGGCAGTCAGCCGGAGCTGAGCTATCTGATGGCCTCTGGGTCCAACAATGCGGTCATTTATGTGCACAACCTGAAGACTGTCATAGGTAACTTTGCTTTCTTACACCCTGGGGCCATATGTGTTCAGCTATTCTGCATTCCAAGTTTTGTACCTTTTTACTTATTTTTTGGTATTAAAATGTTATTGTTGCTTCTGCTTTCAAAAGTAATATATTCATCTTACTTATAAGACAAAAATTTCAAACATGACAAAAAGGTTAACTTAAAAAATGAAGTTCCTCCCATAATAACATCCCTCAGTCATAACCAGCATGATTAGTTTGCTGAATGTTTTCTCCAGTTTTTTTTTTCAGTATTGTTACTGCTAGGCACCTGGGTGGCTCAGTCTGTTAAACCTCCAACTTTGGCTCAGGTCATGATTTCGCAATTCGTGGGTTCATGCCCCGTGTTGGGCTCTGTGCTGACAGCTCAGAGCCGGGAGCCTTCTTCGGGTTCTGTGTCTCCCTCTCTCCATGCCCCTCCCCTGCTCGCGTGTGGTGTCTCTCTCTCTCTCTCTCAAAAATAAATAAACATTTTAAAAAGTTTTTTAGTAAAATAAAAATAAAAAAAATAATAGAGGATTGTTATTGCTAAGTGGCTCCAAAAAGATTGTGCCAGTTTATACCCTCTTCCTTCAGTGTTTGAGTATTTTACACACACATCCCATTCCCATGTTTGACTGTATCTAATTCTCATGGTCCTGTGAGGTAGACTGTGTTAGCCGCATTTTCCTGATGTTTAAATTGAGGCCCAGAGAAGTTAGCTTAACTTCCTAAAGTCCCATAGCTAGTGTGGAGGGGAGCCTAGATTCAAGCCTAATTGCAGAACCTATGTGTTCTGGTAAGTACTATTCCTGCCTAGCAGGTTGATCTTTTTCACATTTCCATGACTTATTCCTTAAGGAGTCTTTGACCCTGCTTAGCACCCACAAAAACCATAATAGGTGGTTAGAAGAGCCCTTTTTTTTAATACAAAAGAAGTGCGATTACTTCTTTCCTAATATGAAGAAATTATAATCTGACACTGTGCTGTTTGAAGAGTAGTGCCAAGTATGTGCTGTGAAAATAGTGAAAACAGTTGACATTTTCATTTTCTCTAGAATTTCCAGTAGTTTTCTGAGAATCCTTATCTGTAACAACAAAAAATGATTCTAGCAGTGGTTCTCTCAAGTTAAAAGCAATATGGAAAACTATTAAAGTATAGACAGATTTTCCTAACAATAAGTAGTAGACAGTGTGTAACTAATGAGCATGATATGTTAGAAAGCTTATCCTGGTCTTTTATCATTATTATCGGGATGCCAAGTTAAGCATCCACTTCGGCTGAGGGCATTGACTTAATTCCTCAGAGCAATGCAGATCTTTGTCTACTTTAACACTAATATCTTAGCTTGTTTTTTATTTTTTATCTACTGAATAATAGAACAAGAAAAAAAGTTGGCCAGAATCAATATCCCTTTCAGACTGGGAACTCTCATACTCTTGTTCAAACGTTCAACAGCTATTAACATTTTGTCATATTTGCTTGGTTTTTGTTTTTGTTTTGTTTCATTTTGTTTTGTTTTGTTTTGTTTTGTTTTTTGCTTTAAATATTTCTTTCAGGGAGAGGACCCCACACTCCTACTCAGTTAAGGGAAGCATTTTTACAGCCTTAAGGTCTTTTATTTTTTTTATATTTACCATGCCATGAATTCATATGGAATGGGTTCCAGCAACTCAGACTCCTTTCCGCTGGTCCTCACAGAGTGTGCTTCTCTGGGTGGGGCAGGCTGGTGCTTCAGTTGAACCCAAGTACCTTTCTCCTTGGCTTCTTTTTCTGATCATTTTCCTTCACTGCTTCAGGAAGCTATCTTGGCTCTTCGAGTGCTTTATATGCTCAATACATACATCAGTTCTCTTGGCAAGAATCTTGTCCTTGTTTGTTTACAATAATGCCAAAAGCATTCTGGGTAACACCATAGGCTCTTCCAGTTTTGCCATGGTAAAATTTGTGTGGCATTCCCTTTTTGAACAGTGCCTATTCCCTTGATGTCCACAGTATCACTTTTCTTGTAGATTAACATGTATGTGGCCAAAGGAACAACTCCAAGTTTTCTAAAAGGCATAGGGAACATACAGCGAGTACCTCTCCTCTTTCCCTTTGTGTTGGTCCTTGTGTCAAATTATTAGAAAATGGCAGTTCTGGCTGAAAGGGATAATTGCTGCTTGGTTCTCTGTGTGTCTGTGTATGTACTTTTCCCAAACCTTTTGTGTTGAATGCGTCATTCTCTCCATGTCCCTTAATATTTGTGTATTTTGTAAGAATAAGGATATTCCCTTACAATCCACAATTCCACTATCAACTTGAGTTAATTTAACAATATACAATGGTTTAATCTATCATCCATATTCTAGTTTTGTTGATTGATCCAATAATATCCTTTATATCTAGAATAGTTTCTCAGCCCTTTTTCATTTTTAAACTGTATTTATTTTTGAGATAGCACACGTGTGAGCAAGGGGGGGCAGAGAGAGAGAGGACAAGGAGAATCCCAAGCAGGCTCCACACTCAGCATGGAGCCCAATGAGGGGCTCAATCTCATGACCATGAGACCACGACCTGAGTCAAAATTAAGAATTGGATGCTCAATCGAGCCACCCAGGCGCAAAGTCCAACATGAGGCTTGGTCTCAGGAGCTGAGAGATCATGACCTGAGCCAAAATCAAGAGTCAGATGCTTAAATGACTGGACTACCCAGGAGCCCTACAGCCATTTTGTTTTTAATCTTTGAAGAATATTGCCCTGTTATTTTGTAGATGCCCCCTTAATCTGGTGTTTTTCTTATAGATTCAGATTATATATCTTTAGCTACCATAAAAGTGATGATACATCCTCCTTGGTACCATATGCAAAAGGTATTATTTTCACTTTGGTGGCTTTTGAAAAGACAAAATGACAGCTAACAATGCAGTAAACCCATATGCCAAGCACTGTGGACATGCCCACAGTCTTAACCAATAAATAACATTGCCTGCTGCAAGTCATCTAGAAAGCATATGGCAAAATCTTGACTCTCCACAATAATACCTTCCTCTGAGTCTTTTTGTTGTTGGCTGTTGGTAGAAATGTCATCTTTCCCTTGTCTCTTAGAGAGCAATCCTGAATCTCCAGTGACCATTACAGAGCCCTACCGGACCCTGTCAGGGCACACAGCCAAGATTACCAGTGTGGCATGGAGCCCACATCATGATGGAAGGCTGGTATCTGCTTCCTACGATGGTACAGCTCAGGTACTATTGTGTCCTTGATTCCGTAGGTTCCTCACCACATACTCTAATTTGAACTCTTTCCTCTTTTCCCCCAGTTGTGTACATTCTTTTCCTCACCATTATCTTGTACAGAAAGGGATATTCTGAGCTCTAGAAAACATCCCACATATCTGGGCCTTTGGCAGGCTAAGATTGTTTTTTGGGGGGTTTTGGGTTTTTTTTTTTTACTTAGATGAAAGGGAAAGTATTGATAGGGAACTAGCTAAATTCTAGTATCTTTTAAGATTTCATTCTTACTGTCATAAGATGGGCTGAATTGATGTGAGAAGTACCTGTTCCTGTCTTAAACACAAATGGCTATAAATCATGAACAATTTTTTTAATAATAAATTGTAAGTCAGAAATCTTCAGGTTGGAAGAAATAAAAGTGAGATGCCAAGCCTGAGCTATGAGATAGGACTTTCAGATATCAGAACCAGAACAGACATTAGTAACTAGAGAGCTAATAATCTCTGTGATGGATGTCAGTCTCTGTTGAGTTGTAATTGAGTTATCTGCACAAACCAAGAAGCCATGAAGGGCTGCCCTCTGTGAAATGGAGACTGGAGTAATTTAAGAAATAGTAAGGAAATTGATCATTTGCCAAGAAATGGGGCAGAAGAATCACCTGCAAAAAATTAGAACTGTAAGCATGGACTACACATGCAGCTGTGAGTTCTGAATTAGAATTCTCATGACACAGGAAATACCATTTCTGAAATTTGAACACCTAAGAGGAAATAATAAGTCATAAGAGTAAACAAGAGTACACAGATTTGTTTAAATCTTTTTAAATTTATACCTGCTCCCCAAAGCAATAGAATAACCAAAAATTATCTATGCTGTCATGTGGCTTTTGGTTTTAGGTGTGGGATACTCTCAGAGAAGAGCCTCTGTGCAACTTCCGAGGACATCGAGGTCGACTGCTTTGTGTGGCATGGTCCCCACTGGATCCAGACTGCATCTACTCAGGGGCAGATGACTTCTGTGTGTACAAATGGCTCACTCCCATGCAAGAACATTCTCGGCCTCCTCAAGGTCAGTCAGAACTGGGAGCCCATAAATGCTTGCCTACTTCCCTTTCTCCCTACCTCAGTAACTAAGTTGATCAGGCTCAAGCAAAGAGGACATTCATGTAGGGCTCTGTAATGGTCACTGGAGATTCAGGATTGCTCTCTAAGGTGGCAGCAACAGCATGGCACGGGTTGCTTTCCTAATCAAGGAAGGCAGCCATGAGGGGCCTAAGGACAGCATCCAAATAATGTCGAGTAGACCTATGCCCACATCTTGGTTTCTAGATAGGATTCTCTGTTAAGAGAGACTAACCAGGGCTTCTTGGAGAAATGGCTAATTCCAGGTTGAGGCAGGAAAAATACAAGATGGGCCTGGCACATCATCCAATGCCACAAAGGAAGGAAATGTCCAAAGAACTGAGATCTGTCAAGAGGACAAAGAAGCCAGCTTGCAGGGGCTCCCACTAACCAAATCTGAGACAGTCTGAACTTGAAAATAATGAACAGAAGAACTCCCTGGCTAGCAAAGATTAACTGATACCAGTTATATATTAAACAACTAAAAATGTGCCTAAATAAATGAAATGATCTATCCACATGATGATTTGTAAAAAAAAAAAAATGCTCATGGTAGCTTTATCTGTAATGAACACAAACTGGAAACAACCCACATGTCAATTGGCACAGTAAATACACTGGTATATCCCTACAGTGGAATTCTACTCAGCAATGAAAAGGAAGTAACTACTGATAAACATAGCAAAATGTGTGAATCCCAAAAAAATGTTACACTGAACAAAAGATGCCAGGCACAAAAGAATGCATGCTATGTAATTCTAATGTACAGTCAGAAACACAAGTATCTACAATATGAAATTCTAAAAAGGCAAAACTATAGTGACAGCAGATGAGTGACTGCCTGGGACTCAGGAAGGGGGTGCATCTTACTGCAAAGAGGCATGAGGAAATGAGATAATGGAAATATTTTATTCGCAGTGGTGAGTTACATGACTATACATCTGTCAAAACTCATCGAAGTATTAAAAAGTGGGTATATTGTGTTAAACTATACCTCAATAAAGACGACCTAAAAAGCAAGGGATAAATGCTTTAAAACTTAAAAAATAAATAAATAGTAATGGATTAAAACTAACTAGGGGGCACCTGCCTGTCTCAGTCGGTTAAGCATCTGACTCTTGATTTAGGCTCAGGTCACGATCTCACAGTTGAGTTTGAGCACCGCGTCGGGCTCTGCACTGATCACGCAGAGCCTGCTTAGGAATCTCTCCCTCTCTCTCTGCTCCTCCCCTGCTCATTGTTGCTGTCTAAAAATAAACAAATGAACTTAAAAATTAAAAAAAAATAGGAATCCATGAGTCCATATTGGGGGGGTGGGGAATGAAGGTCTAAATAAACGGGGAAACAAAAGCTCTTTACAGAATGCCAACTAATGAATGTAGAATGAATGATGGAATTAGAAAATTACTATTCAGTCTTCATAGTAACAGTTTTTTGTCAAGAAACATCGGTGGATAGTAAAACTAGTGGGCGCAAACTTATTAATTACAAAGGGAAAATAAGTTTTCAGGGAGAAACCTGTCCCCTTAATCTAGTGATGGAAGTAAACAAATAATGAGACAAGTAGAAACTATGTGCTACCCACTGTGTTACATTGACAGCATCACTCCTATGTATTCCAACCCCAAATGTAAAACCTAAATTTAATCATAGCAGACATCAGGCGGTGGGGGAAATCAACAAAATAACAGCCCTGTAATCTTAAAAGTTTCAAGTCATGCAAATTAACAGGAAAACGAGCCTCCTCCAGACTGAAGGAAACTAGAGAGATGTAACAAGCAAGTTCATCATGTAATCCTGGATTGATTCCTTTTGCCATAAAAGACATTCTTGGTACAACTGGCAGAACTTGAATACAGTCTGTGGAGTAGACAGTAGTAATGCATCGATGTTAATTTCCTGATTTTCTTGGTTGTGTTGTGGTAATGTAGGAGAATGTCCCTGTGTGTAGGATACACACTATAAGTATTCAAGGATAATTGGGCATCATATTCATGGTTTAATGAAATCCTAAAAGGGTTTGGTATGGTTAACTTTTTGATACTCTAACTCTAAAAATTCATGGGGAAGGAAGAGAAGTGATGAGAATACTATCAAAAAAAAAAGAGTGAGGACGTTTTAGAGATTGTCTCCTAGAGTGCTTTTAACCAAGAATCTGTACTTTACCTTTTGTCTTAATCGTGATACCTCTAGGTAAGAAAAGTATTGAATTAGAGAAAAAAAGGCTCTCTCAACCTAAGCCAAAGCCCAAAAAGAAGAAAAAGCCCACCTCGAGAGCTCCTGTAAAGCAGGATGTGTATGACGGGAATGAAGACGAGAGCATCAGGGAGAGCTCGGGACCTGTTGAGAACGGTCTGTCGGACCAGGAGGGTGAGGAGGAAGCCCAGGAGCCAGAGCTACCCAGTAGCATCATCTCAGTGGGTATGTGGCCAAGTCCTGTGTTTCGTGGACTCTCTAGGACTTGATAGTCATGACCAGGAAACTAAGCCAGGTCCTTACTCAGTTTGAAATTTCTCTGTCTCTGACCTATGTATTGTCCCATCTCTGTAACTTAAACTGTATCTTTGGTGCCGTTAGAAACTCCATTCATTTCTTAAAAGGTTATCTTAAGCCTCTAAACCCCTTTGAAGTGGTAAAGTGGATCTGGTGGAAGACTGGGATCGAAATAGTGAAGGTCTTTAGAAAAAACTTCTTAGCACCTTGGGCAGGATAAGACTGTGGGGCAAAGTGAAACCAGGGCAGTTGACTCATAGAAACTGACATGGGACAAGTTTTCACAGTATCACATCTAGCCACAATTATTGAAAGAAACCACTGCCCCTTACCAGCATCTGACCTAGAAGCTACCGCCACCCTGGGAAAAGGTTAGGAAAATAAAGAGCTAAAGGCTTAATGGATTTATTTTTTTAGGCTCATCAAAACGCCTTTATATCACAAAATGGTTGTACAAAATGTTCTTTACCCCTGTAGACCAGCCGCTGGGTTGTTTTGTTTTTTTTTTCCCCAGTTGGGCTTTTTTTTAAAGTTCATGGTTGTGTGTGCTCAGGGCTGTGACTCCATATCACATACCCTTAATAATTTCTATTAGTAAAGTTGTTCCTTGTTTGTGTAATTAAATATATACACTTAATACTTTGTTACCTAAATATGTAACAAGTCTTTTGTCATCTGAGCAAGGTTTCAGGACTCCTGGGCCTATGGTATAAAGTTGTGGCAGCTATAAACTTAAAATTTCTCCTGAGATCAATCAAAGTTCTAAGACTTAGACATTTTGTGAGGTGGGAAAAGGGAGACTACCCATGTTTCCTTTTGAAAGTATTTTATCTCATGTTATGGAATACATAAATAATATTAAGCCTGGTTTAGTTCTTAATCATTAAAAAGAACTAGACTCTATATTGTTCTCCTCCAAACTTTTTCTTTATCTCCTATGATACAGCTTCTAGAGAACCAGTTACCTGCACTCCGGTTTCCATAGGTTTTGAAAAGTCAAAAACCACTGTTAATAACAAAGTCACAATACTGAAAAAGGAGCCACCTAAAGAGAAGTCAGGTTGGTGTCTAATGGTTAAAATATTTTGTTAAAGCATCCTCAAATATTACATGCAACTGAAAACAGTCAAAAACAAAAATTGGGTTTTAAATGTTTGTGTTTTGATTATTTCAATTTTGGGTCATGCTTTTAAACATTTTTAACACTTAAACAATTTTAAACATTTTTTTAACGTTTTCATGAGGAAGTGTCATTTTGCAACTGTTGATAATGCTTCACAGGGGTTCACAGGGACGTGTTGTGTGTGTTGTACACACTGCCCCCAGCTAACTTAACCTGAAAGCTTCTTCATAAGTAGCAAATTTTCTGATGACCGGCATTATCCCTCCAGTAGGTTACAATCGCACAATGGCCATCCCGTTTGTGATTCTGATCAGCTCTTCTTAGACCATCTATATTTTTATTACATTTCAGAATCCATAACCAAGAAGCGAAAAGCTCGTTCCATGCTTCCACTGACTACCAGCCTGGACCACAGGTCTAAAGAGGAGCTTCATCAGGACTGTCTGGTATTAGCAACGGCAAAACACTCCAAAGGTACAAAAATACACTCCCTTGGCCCATCCATAGTCTTCTGGGAACTAGCACATAAGAGGCGCTTGCTTGTATATTTGTTGAATGAATGAGCACACAAATGTCTAGAGTTGTTTATATTTCTAAATTCTTTTCCAACCTTCCATCCCCCCCACGGCCCCACCGCCAGGCTCCCCCGTGCCTTTGCGATGTGGTGCTCTGGCTTATTGTTCTAAATCCAGTTGTCACCAGCCATCTATGTGCTGGAATTGGTATGATGGCTTAAATACCTCAGCATGAATCAACTCCTTCAACTATTTTTCCCCCAGGAAAACAGTATCTTCAATTAGAAAAAAAAGTATTTCCTTGTTGGAAATATACCCATAATATGGCAGTTCCTTTTTTTGGATTTGGTGGAAGTTTTTGTTATAGGTTTTTTTTTATTTTACTTTTGCAAAACTCTCATGTAAGGCCCATTATTTTGATATTTGAACAGCTATATTTTTTTGAATTTTACATGTTGAAAATAGATACACATGATAAAATGAAATTCAGAGATTCAAAAAGAATGTAAATCCCCATCCCACCCCGATACCCAATCCTCACATTTCCCCTCAAGACCACACTGTTAACAGTTTTTGTCTCTCTCCAGAAATATTTTATGCTCTTCTTACATACATAAGCCTCTTTTGGGGACTTTATCTTGACTTCCTGTAACTTACACACTTTATCATATAGCTTTACATTATTAACTTTACTGGAAAGTTACTCAGTTGACTTTTTAAAAACCAGAATGATTATTGAATCCCTTTGTGGTGGGTCCTAGCAAATGTTAAGGACATTTCTTGTTGGGATTTGGGGTTGGCCTTTTTTTTTTTTTTTTTTTTTGAGGCAGAGGAGGGGCAGAGAAATAGGGAGAGAGAGAATCCCAAGTAGGTTCCACACTCAGCATGGAGCCCAGCGAGGGGCTAAATCTCGCAACCGTGGGACCACTACCTGAGCAGAAATTAAGAGTCAGACACTCAAATCGAGCCACCCAGGTGCCCCTGGGGCTGGCTTTTTACATCCTCTTTCACCCCTTCCCCATCTTTTTTTTTTTTTTTTTTTCCAACGTTTATTTATTTTTGGGACAGAGAGAGACAGAGCATGAACGGGTGAGGGGCAGAGAGAGAGGGAGACACAGAATCGGAAACAGGCTCCAGGCTCTGAGCCATCAGCCCAGAGCCCGACGCGGGGCTCGAACTCACGGACCGCGAGATCGTGACCTGGTTGAAGTCGGACGCTTAACCGACTGCGCCACCCAGGCGCCCGCCCCTTCCCCATCTTTATTTGAGCAAACTGCAGACTAAATTGTCTCACTGGATTTTGCCAAGGCTGAGCTTTAACACAGTGTTTTCATGTTTTGCTACCCTTGTAACCAGGAGGGGTCTCTGTTAGGGTAAACAAGGGCACAGGACTTCTCTTCACTGTCTGAAATGGGTCATCTGGACACACGTTTGGAAGTAATTGGACAGAAAACAGTAACCTCATTTTCTTGTCTTTTTGAATTCACAGAGCTAAATGAGGACGTGTCTGCTGATCTTGAGGAAAGATTTCACTTGGGACTTTTCACAGACAGGACTGCCCTGTACAGAATGATTGAGGTTGAAGGTGAGGCAAGTCCAGTCAACATAACCCAGTCTGTCTCCATGCTTCCCTAATACTTTGTACACACCTGTTTTATGGCTGCCATCCTGTGGCATCATACTGGTTGGTTTTACATTTCAACTAACTAGGTTTTGAGCTCCCCAATCTGCATATTCCCTTATACCCCTTGCATCTCTCATAGGACCCTAAACATAGTGTTCACTCTGAGCGTAAGTGAAAATGAGTGTGTGGACAAGGGACTGAGTGGGCTTTAAACCACATTATGAACACTCTGAGAGATGACTCACCCATCAGCCAGCAACAACATATTATAGGAATTTGTTCCCCTCTTTTCATCCTGACTTTCCTTCTCTTAAAGTCTGTGCAGACAGGTTTCTGAAACCTCTTCCCAACATTATGTCTCCTCCAAACAGGAAAGGGTCACTTGGAAAATGGCCACCCTGAGTTATTTCACCAACTCATGCTTTGGAAAGGAGATCTAAAAGGTGTTCTTCAGACGGCAGCGGAAAGGGGGGAGCTGACAGACAGTCTTGTGGCTATGGCACCAGTTGGTATGTTCTTCTCGACAAAAGGGCTATCACCTTGAAGATAAGTCCACTAAATGGACACTCTCTTGCAGGACAGTTTGGCCACGTCTAAAAACTTTAACTCCGCAATTCTAGGTGTTGGAAATTAACTGTACTCACACGTGCAAAATGACAAGTATACAGGCACTGTCGTTACAGCAGTGTTTGTCATAGCAAAAGACCACAGGAACCTCTCTGTCCATCAGTAAGAGACTGGCTAAATCTCATACCTCTACGGTAGAATCTCTTGGGAAAAATTAGGCAGCTCTTTGCATTCTAGTATGGAATGAAGCTCCAAAAGCATAGTAGGGAGAAGACTCAAGATGTTGATACATGACAATATTTACTACTTTGTCATTTATATTTGTCTTCACATAGTATTTCAAAAAGGTTTCAAAAGAAACTAGAAATAATGGTCGTCTCTAGGCAAAGGAATTTGGATGAGTTTGGGTGGGAGGACACCAGAATAACAAGGTAAATTATGCCATGCCCAGTTTTTTAACTTTATTCAAGTATACTTTAAAAAAAAAAAGAAGTACACAGGTTATGATGGCACAAACTGAATACACCCTTGTAACCAGCACCATATCAAGAAGTATAACACTGCCAGAAAGCACTTAGGAAGCTTCACTCATGCTCCTGTTCATTCAGTCTCCACACACCCCAACAAGGCTAATCACTGCCCTGACTTCCATATTCTCTTGTACCTTTTGAATTTTGCATTATTTTTTATGTGTTAGCTAATCAAAGAGAAAAAATTTATGTTTCAAAACATGGGTATAGGGCGAGTAAATGAAGCAGATAATCTGTAATGATAACTGAATTCAGAGTATCTAAATGCTCTACTTAGTGCAGTGACTAGAACCAAGGTGTTTTCATTCCAAATGTAGATTCTTTTTTTCCTTACCCCTGCTGCTGCTTATTCAACCGTCATTTTTTTTTTTTTTTTTTTTTAGCTGGCTACCATGTGTGGCTGTGGGCCGTGGAAGCTTTTGCCAAACAGCTGTGTTTTCAAGATCAGTATGTTAAGGCTGCCTCTCACCTCCTTTCTATCCACAAAGTGTATGAAGCTGTAGAGCTGCTCAGGTCAAACCACTTCTACAGGTTTGTAGGACCCTACAGTTGAGCCACCAGTTGGGCACAGTGTGGAATTAATCTGCTGACCGGTGCCACTTAACGATAACCAGCAGAAATCTTGGTTGTAATTAAACATTGCAGATGTACAGAAATACATGCACACTAGCCTAACAAACACCAGTGTACCCACTACCCATACTTAACAAGCGTTAACTTCGATCAGTATTTGCCACTGATCTTTTTCAGAATTTCTTTATCCCTAAAGTTGCAAACATAGAGAAACCGTGTAATACAAAAGAGATGGGATCTTGTCAGCCACCCCAAAAGCTCCCCATGTCCCCGACTGTTGTTGTTTTTAAGTATAACACTCCAGATTTCACTGAATTGCCTTTCTCCAGTTCTGTCCTCATCCTTTCTCTAAGAAGCAACCATTCTGCTGAGATTGGTTTGAATCCTTCCTCTCCAAGTTACTACACTTTCACTATAATACATTTGTAAGTAATGACAAACAAAAGGAGTAAAATATTTCTTATAAACAGCATACAGGTTTTTTTTTATACATTCTGATGGTTTCTGTCTTTTAATTGGAATGGTTAGGCCATTTACATTAAATATAAATATTGGTGCAATTAAAATTTACCATCTTGCTATTTTGCTTTCTTTTGGATTACTTGAATATTTTCTTATCTCCAATCCTGGCTTATTAGCTATACTCTATTTTATGGTTGCTTTAGGGTTGATGATGATTAGCATGTTTTTTTAATTTTTAAGTTTATTTATTTATATTGAGAGAGAGGGAGAGAGAATCCCAAGCAGGCTCCACACCATCAGCACAGAGCCCAACGTGGGACTCAGACCCACAAACCATGAGATCATGACCTGATCTGAAACCAAGAATCAGGCATTTAACCGACTGAGCCACCCAGGCGCCCCATGATTAGCGTTTTTAATTTTCACAGTTTACTTTCAACTAATGTTGTCCTACATCTTATATAAAACTTATTTCTTTCATTCCCTCCTGTCCTTTCTGCTACTTACTTGTCATATATTTGACATGTTATAGCCCCACATTACAGTGTTAGAATTTTTGCTTTAACCTGTCATCTTTTTAAATAACTTTTTAACTTTAAAACTTTTTTTATATCTGCCCACATACTTATTTCTAGCATTTTTCATTCTCTTACGTAGGTCCAACGTTCAACTGCTATCAATTCCTTCTTCACCTGAACAAGAATTTCATTTTTTTTGTAGTGTGATTCTTCTAGTGACCAATTCCATCAGCTTTTGTTTGTCTATAAAAGTCTTTAATTTTGCCTTCATTTTTTTTTTAATTTTTTTTAACGTTTATTTATTTTTGAGACAGAGAGAGACAGAACATGAATGGGGGAGGGGCAGAGAGAGGGGGGGACACAGAATCAGAAGCAGGCTCCAGGCTCTGAGCCATCAGCCCAGAGCCTGATGCGGGGCTCGAACTCACAGACCGCGAGATCGTGACCTGAGCTGAAGTCGGATGCTTAACCGACTGAGCCACCCAGGCGCCCCCCGAATTTTGCCTTCATTTTAAAGGATCTTTCTCTGGGGGTAGAATTCTAGATTGGCAGTTTTTGTCTTTCAGGGCTTCAGAGATGACTGTTTACTCTTACATTGTTCTTGACTTGACTGCATCTATTCCCATCTTTGTTATATAGGAACTGTCATTTTTTTCTCACTGTTTTTAGAACTTTCTCCGTCACTGATTTTCAGCCATTTGATGTGATGGCTTTGGTGAGACTTTGTCTTTTTCCTGTTTTGGTTTGTCTTCCTCTGAAGGGTGTTGAACTCTGTTTTAGTGAGCACTAAAGTTGCTAGTAGAACAGCTTGATCTTTTCATGGCTTGTTTTTAAGGTTTCTTAGAACAGGTTTAGAGAAATCTTTTTTTTTTTTTTAAGTTTATTTATTTTGAGAGAGAGAGTGCGCAGGAGAGGCAAAGAGAGAGAGAATCCCAAGCAGGCTCCTCACTGTCAGCGTAGAACCCCAACGTGGGGCTTGAACTCACGAACCGTGAAATCATGACCTGAGCCAAAATCAAGAGTCGGACACCTAACCGACCGAGCCACCCAGAGAAATCTATATTCTAGAATTAGTTTGTCCTTCTACCTTCTGGTGTCTTTATTGAATGCCTGTGTGTTCAACAAATCAGAACTCAAATGTCTGGCTGGTCAAAACACCGAAGTCCCCTATGCCCTGAGTGAACTCTGGGAATTATTCAGCTTATAATTCCCTGATTGTTCTTTATCCAGCCTTAAGGAATGTCCTACACATGCATGGCTTTCTGTTTAGCCAAAGATTCATGAGATCCCCAAACAGAGTTCTGTAAGGCTTCCCCTGGATAGCTTGTTCCTTCCTATTATCCTGCCCCTCATATTCCAATTATTTTGTCTCTCCTCCACTCAGTAAGACTGCTGGGGCTTTGCTGGGTTCTCTATAGGAAAATGGCTATTAGGAGGTTCCCTTCTCTCGGGGATAACAATCCTGAGCTGCCTGCATCCAATGTCTGAAAACAGTTGTTTCATACATATTTTGTCTAGTTTAGTGGCAGGAGGGTAAGTCTGGTAAGTTGATGTCTCAAAATACTTCTTAAACATTGCTCTGCATAGATCACCTTAATCTAAAATACTTTTATTCTAGCTACAATTTTATGTTGGCTACAACTCAGAAGTTGTAGGTCAGTTGAAAATATTAGCTCACTGAATTATACAGATACTCCAGATGTTAACACATTTCATTATTAAAATATCCAGAAACATTCACATTCTTAAATATCACCATCAGTCTCTTCAGAAAAGTCTTTAGCATTTGGGAAGCTATCTAGCCCACAGTGGCAGGCATAGATTTTCTAAAATTCTCGTTTTCACTTGAAAGCTCAAAATTTATCATTGGCAAAAATACTGTTGGTTGTCAAGTGACAGACTTGGGGATCCCCAGGAATCCACAGGCCACACGTTAAGAACTGCTGACCCAGGTGAAGAATTGAGTTCAGCATGTGGTTTTAACTTCCCACGTGGGGTGCCTGGGTGGCTCAGTCGATTGACCGTCCGACTTCGGCTGGTCAGGTCATGATCTCACGGTTCATGGTTTCAAGCCCCACGTTGGGCTCTGTGCTGAGCTCGGAGCCTGGAGCCTGCTTCAGCTTCTGTGTCTCCCTCTCTCTCTGCCCCTCCCCTGCTCACGCTGTCTTTCTCTGACTCAAAAATAAATAAATGTAAAAAAAAAAAAAATTTTAACTTCCCACATAGTGCAGGAAAATGGTTTTGTACAGGAAGTTGGAACAGTATAAACAACACAAGAGGGACAGTTTATCCTATCTTCCAGCTTTTTCAAATTGGCTTTTTATCTGTTCTGGCCTCTAGGGAAGCTATTGCAGTTGCCAAGGCCCGACTGCGCCCAGAAGACCCGATCCTGAAGGACCTGTACCTCACCTGGGGAGCCATCCTGGAAAAAGACGGCCATTATGCCGTGGCTGCCAAATGGTAAGCTGGAGGGAACAGGCATGTACCCAAACATCGAAGAGCTGTGATGCAGAAGAGCAGGACGAGAGTAGTAAGTTTAGAGGGGGAGGTAAAGTGACTAGAAAACAAAAAGCCATATGTGTATTAAACCTAGCTTCATAAGATTCATCGTCTTTGGATGAATCCTTTATATAAATCACCTCCCTTATATAAATCACCATAACTACTGAAGAAACCTCAGTAGCAGACTCAGAAATTCCACCTTTCTCTAGTAATGTCTTTACTATCAAATAAGGAAACTGGGAGAGAATAAAAACTCTATTTGGGTTCAGTTCAGCAAATGTATGTCCTTACCCTGTAGGATGCTGCCACTCATTCTCTATGTTGAGATGGAAGAGGGTATAGGAGATCTGTTCATGACACTTTTGGGTTTTTGTTTGTATTACAGCTATTTAGGGGCTGCTTCTGCTTATGATGCAGCCAAAGTTTTATCCAAGAAGGGAGATGCAGCATCACTTAAAACAGCTGCAGAACTGGCTTCAATTGTAGGAGAGAATGAGTTGTCCTCTTCCCTGGCTCTCAGATGTGCCCAAGAGCTGCTTTTGGCCAGGAACTGGGTGGGAGCCCAGGAAGCGCTGAAGCTACATGAAAGTCTAAAGGTCAGTCTGTTCTTGTATCTCCAGGTATTTAAGAGGGAAAGGCCACAAGTCCTTTTCTAGTCAAATTCCAAATGAATAACCCAGTTGCACAGCTGTACCAGTTTGGCAGGTACCCTTAGAAGTGTCCAGCAAGCCCTGGCCATACTATCCCATGGAAGTACCATGGCTTGTCCACTGCCATATTCTGAGTAAGAGATAATGTAGTCATTCATATTATTCTCCTTCCTTATCAATTTGTGTACAACATACATGAGTCAATTTTAGTCAGCATAGCCCTGAACTAGCAGTCTGGTGTTTCTTTACTGGTGTCATCAGGTCTTCTTTGAAGAGGGAGAGGAAGGGGAGGATTTCCAACAGAAATCAAGGTGCTCCGCCATAGCATCACTCTTTAACTATAAGCCATAACAAAGTGTGGCGAAATCAACATTTTGTTAAATGTCTGTTTATCCCTTTCTGGTTAACTATGAGTAACTCACCACTGTTTTATTTGACGCATCAAACTGAGATTACTTTAAAAGCATCAGCACTCTCATTTTCTAAAACACATAAACATTTTAGATAGCTTTACTGCTCAGATACTAACATGAACTTTGTAAGCTCCCCTCTCCCTAATAGAGTAACTGGACCTAAAGACAGTTCCTACCTAAATATTGAAACCCAAGAAAAGTAGTAGCTTTCTAGGAAAGCTACTTCCTAGCAAAAGTAATATGCACTCAAAGACAGTGTCACTTGGTATATTACTTATAAAATGACCAAATCTAAAGAGATTTTAATTTATCCATAGCAAAAAAAAAAAAATTCCAGAATGGTTATTTAAGCATTTCTTTTTTCTTTTAAAAAGCATCCTTATGAAAGCAAGAAAACCTTTACGTTTATGCAGAATGCTGTTCTGGTCATTGTCAGGCTATTTGGGCTAATATTTTGCCAAGCCAAACTGAGAAAATACTGTTACAAGGGTATACGTGAACCTCATGGCAACTGAAGGTCTTAGCAAAAAGAAAGATACTTGCTGACTCCTCTGAAGCCTGCTGGGACATGGCGCCCGACACCTGCCGCAGCTGTCATATCTGCACAGCTTATCTGCTCTAGCACCTTCTGCCCATTGCACTTTGCTTCTGTATCCCTTAATGTAAAGTTTGGACAGGGGGAAAGAACTGGATGAGCCCAGGCTGTCTTTTCTCAAACTGGGTCATAAGTCTTAGGTGACTGTCCTGTATGTGGTCTACACTGCAGTGGACAGGGCTGTAGTTGGGATTCTGTGTCATAAAACTATTTGCTTGGGCTCCAGGCTACCTCCAGGATTCCTGCAAAGGCATCTGGAAAAATGTCTATTAGATCACCTCTTTACCCCCCGCCCCCTCACTCAATGATTCACACTGGCCAGAGGCAGCCCCCTAAAGGGTCTGGTTGCTGCAGATGCGATGGGGAACACAGAAACTGAGAAGAGCTCTTGAGATAATCAGGCACTTCCATTGCCTAACAGTTCCTGTCCTTGTTGTTGGGTTTCAGGGGCAGAGACTGGTGTTTAGCCTTCTTGAGCTCCTGTCCAAGCGCCTGGAGGAAAGGCAGCTTTCGGAGGGCAAAAGTTCTTCCTACAATGTGTGGGCTGCAGGCACTGAAGGGCCCTTCGTGGAGAGGGTGACTGCAGTATGGAAGAGCACCTTCAGCCTGGAGACCCCAGAGCAGTACCAGGCAGCATTACAGCAGCTGCAAACTATCAAGTACCCATCTGCTACAAATAACACTCCCTCCAAACAGGTACCCTGTCTGCACTCTGCAGTAAGCCTTCCTTAATCCACGTCTAGTATAATAAGGAAACCAACTGAATGCCAGTTTGCATTTCAGAAAAGACTAAGGCAGGCACAGGCAACCTGGAAAGATCCCTTCAAGACTAATTAAGGCCCTTTAGCTTTGAAGTTAGTCTTAGATCAGTATTCTCTTTTTAAAAGAAAATAAAAAAAAAAAAAAAAAAAACTAAACCTACACAAAAGCACAGAGAAAAATATAGTACTCATCAACCAGGAATTACCAGAGTTCACGTGATTTGTCATTTTGCTTCATAGAGTTTTTTTGGTTTTGTTTTGCATATATTCTTCTAGTTTTTAGTAAAAGAAATACAGTAAGTTTGAAGTCCCTGGTGTCCCGGACCTTCCTTTGGTCCCATTCTCCTTTCCTAGCTTACCAAAGTCAGCCCCTAGGTCACTCATAGTATTATTTTTTGCCTCATTTCAGTGACCAGTTTGTAAAATCTGTCTGTATTGATGCAGAGAGATAAAGTTGATTCATTATAGCAGCTATACCCATCCTATAAATGTATGTCAATTTATCTGCTTTTTCTTTTGAAAATGGGGGAAGGCTCATTTATTTTTGAGGATTGAGACTTCCTCAAATGATAATGTAGCACCTTGGGAAACAGTTTGGCAGTTTCCCATTAAGTTAAATATAGACGTGCCCAGTGACCCAGCAATCCCACTGCCCAGATATTTCACTAAAAGAAATACAGCCTTGTACACAGCTGTTCGCTGCAGCTTAGCGGACAGCAGCCAAAAGCTAGAACAACCCAGACATCCATCAGCTGCTGAATGGATGTGCAAACTAGCCTATCCAGACAGTGGAATACTATACGTGCAGCAATACAGAGGAACAAGCTAGTGATGTACAAATCATACTGGTAAATCTGGAAAGCATTATGGTAAGTGAAAGAACCAAGACACAAAAGACTATATGCTGTGGTTCCATTTATCTGAATTCTAGAAAAGACAAAATTTATAGTGACAAAAACCAGGTGAGGGGTTGCAGGGGGTGGGAAGAGAGGAATGCCTGCAAAGGGGCACATGGGAATATTCTGCAGTGACGAAAATGTTCTGTCTTGATCGTGATGGTGATTGTAGCATGTGTATCTATAGAGATACATGTATTTATCAAAATTCATCAAATGGCTCACTTAAAACTGATAAATTTTCTTAATTGTACAATTTTCTTAATTGTACTCCGGGTTGGTTGGTTTAATTACAGCTTTTAGTTCTGAAACTCACTTTTTGTTTTAATTAAATGTAAATGTCACAGCATTTGTTTTTAGCATGAACAGACTTTAACACCACACAAGGTATGTTGCTGTGCAACTAGATATGGAAGTTTCTCAGATAGGGAAGCAAAAATGGGTGATGGAAACAGGAGGACCTTTCTTAAACTTGCACTGTGTCCTTCCTTCCAAGTGCAGTCAATAGGAATATTTCTGTATCATCCCAGTGCTTGCTGTGCAAGAATGTTTAACTGAAACTCTGGCTCTTCCCTCCAGCTTCTGCTTCATATTTGCCATGATCTGACGTTGGCAGTGCTAAGCCAGCAGGTGGCCTCCTGGGACGTGGCTGTGGAAGCCCTGCTTCGGGCTGTGGTCCGGAGCTACGACTCCGGAAACTTCACCATCATGCAGGAAGTGCACTCAGCCTTTCTTCCTGAGGGTAAATGACCCCAACCTTTGCGGGAGCATGCCTACTAATGGATGATGTAAACACCACCGATGGTGTAGCACCAGGAGTACAAACATTATTGAAAGAGACTGGCCAGTTGTGTCATTTAGCACCAAGTTTGAATTCTCTTACCCAAGCTCCTACGAGGGGGCCAGAACGGCCAAGCGGTTTTCCTTTACCTGGCCCTACCTACCTTACCTACCTTGCTGCCTTCTACAAATTTTTCTCCATGGTTTAAGAGAAATAGCAATGTGCTCAGAAGTTAGTTAAGAATGGAGAAGCACATAGGGCGCCTGGCTGGCTCAGTTGGAAGAGCATGCAGCTCTTGATCTCAGGGTCGTGAGTTCAAGCCCCACATTGGGTGTAGAGATTACATTAAATAAGTAAATAGACTTAAAAAAAAAAAAAAGAATGGAGAAGCACAACAGAAGGGACATTCTTTGAACTGCATACTTAGTCACTAAACTAAATCACTGATTTTTCAGAGACATAGTGAGATCATACCCCAGAGCTTTCATAGGAAGATGGAATACTTTTTCTGTAATGCTTTGATTGACTCGCAGACTACAGCAACAAGAACGCTGTCCTAGGTCAGGAGATGTTTAGCTCTGATTGGCTTTAGGTGAAAAGCATGTAACCCCATGGATCACTGCTGTCCTTGTTCTTGAGCTCTGCCCCTTGGGTGATAGGAAACGTAACGGGAAGAGGAATGTGTATCTAGCAGAAACAGAAATGCACAACCCTAAATCCTTCTCTTCTTCTAGGCTGTGACCACCTAAGAGACAAACTGGGTGAACATCAGTCCCCTACCACACCAGCTTTCAAAAGTTTGGAGGCCTTTTTTATTTATGGACGTCTGTATGAATTCTGGTGGTCTCTCTCCAAGCCTTGCCCTAAATCCAGTGTCTGGGTAAGAGCTGCTCACGGAAGGACAACTTCTGTGGAGCAAAGCCAGCAGATAGACAGTGCCAGCCCTGAAGAAACAGACCCTAATATTTCTCAGCCAAAGCCAAGCGGGCCTCCAGAATTAGACTTGAGCCTCACAGAAGAAAGTGAGCAAATGCTGATCACTTGTAAAGAGCTCTTTTCAGAAAAACACGCCAGTCTCCAAAACTCACAGAGAACCGTTGCTGAAGTACAAGAGACCTTGGCAGAAATGATCCGCCAACACCAGAAGAGTCAAGTCTGTAAATCCACAACGAATGGTCCTGATAAGAATGAATCTGAGCAGGTAGCAGAACAGCCCCTCTCTAGTCCTCAGAACCAGTGGTAAGTATAAGGTGGAATTGGACATACCATGCTGGCTTCTCAGATAAAAATCAGTATGTGATGAGCTTGATCAGGTCACTTGCTGGCACCATCATGTAGAATGCACAGGCTTTGGAGTCTGACATGGGGCTCTAATCCGGCTCTGCTGACTGAGCTCAGGCAAGATTCTTAATGTTTCTGAGCATTTGTTCCCATATATACAACTGGGAGTACCTACTCCTATCTTGCTTGTTTGGGGAATTAAATGAAATCACAAATAGTGTTAATAATAGGATAGGGACACCTGGTGCTCAGTAGGTTCAGCGTCCAACTCTGGATTTCAGCTCAGGTCACGATCCCATTGTGGGATTGAGCCCCAGCGTTGGGCTCTGTACTGAGCATGGGACCTGCTTGGAATTCTCTCTCTGCCCTTCTCTTGCTTGCACTCTCTCTCTCTCTAATAAAAATAAAAAACTTAAAAAAAAAAAAAAACTCAGTAAAAAATAACAATAAATCTTATCTCTAGGCGATGAATAGATTCCCCTCCCCCCAAAAAATTAACCAAGTAAAATGGAAGTGCATTATTGTATCATTAATGAAAACCACGGTTTTTCGATTATTCTATGCTATCCCAGAAAATACACAAAAAGAGTAGTGTACAAAACTGCACACTGAATTGAGAAAATCCCAAATGATCAGAATGTAATATCCTAATCACTTCCACTGAACACAGGGGCCAGGTGGATGACAGGAGCCGATCCACAATCACTGTAGAGCTCATTTGCATATATTACAGGGTCTTCTGCTATGGGCATTTGCAGTGATTAACAATTATTGATTGGTCATTATGCTGAGGGCCTTTTTCCTAGATTATTTCTCCCCAGCACAGGGCGTAAATAAAACATTGTAACTAGTACCATCAATAAACTGATAGCTATTATTACTAACTGAAAAAAAAAAAAAAAACTAAAATGTTTTGAAGCCCTTATATATTTATTGCTGTAAAAATAGTCCCATTGAAATCTTGAGTTAGAGTTTTGAGTCACTTCTCCAGTAAGCTATCACACTCTAGGCAGTTACTAGGTTTTAGTAACAAGAAAAATACTAAAAATCTTTCTAACTCAGCAGCTCTTAACCTTTGGATCACAGGACTCCTTTGAGAAGATTCAGACACTCTTTCCAGAAGAATGTGCATCCATATACCAACAGTTAGGAGCCTGAGCTGTGTCTAACCATTCCCCAGAGAAATCCAGGCTTTGTGCACTTAGCTGCAGATCGAATCCCCTGAAGGGCCTAACTTTTCATTAGAGCTATGTATCTAAGAAGTGGGGATTTGGCAAATGGTGAGGAATGATATTTCACTTTGAAAACTTCGTATCACATCACATTAAATTCCCTCCTCTTGACCTTTGTATTAAAGATGAAAGAGATAACAAAAGAATTTTATTTATAGGGTAACAGTTAAAAGTTTTGTGGGGCAAGGCACATGACTTGTAATTTTTTTTTTTTATTGTTACCAGTAAAGAAGAAAAAAATCAGCCACTTTCTCTGCCTGAATTAACCAAAAGTCTTACGGAGGCAAATGAGAGAATAGCTAAATTTCCTGAGAGTGTTAAGGTAAGATATCAGTTCATTTAATAAAACATTATTGTTTATATTATCCACTGACTGGACCAAATTCTTTAAGGTCATCTAATTTTGTGTTCCATTTATAAAATTGCTACACATTTGTATATGCTTAAAAATTTAGGATCCCGTTGTCTTGGGTTAACTAAAATGTTTTGTGAGAATAGGATTATTGGCAACACAAGCAATTTTATACCTCGGTCTTCAGAGAAATGGAACACATTTTGCATCTGGGGAGTAAAAATAAAATTAAAATTGGTACCATGTATTTGATAGCTTACAGATGGATAGGTGTATTTGAATGTGGCCCTGGTATTAGAGGAGAGTCATGTTTTGAATGAATTGAGTAGGGCTCTAGAAGATGATTCTGTCATTTGAGAAGGATACCCCAGTCTGAGCCCTCCCAGTTTTGAGTATCATCTACCCTTAGAGTTACTGAGGAAGAGCCTTCCTCAGTTCAGCCATGCCTGAGTAGTGTCACTAGATGAGACTTTGAGTTGCTGGTGCCTTCTGTACAGGTATTTGTGAGTCCTCCAAATGCTTCCTTGTTCATCCTTGTGTCCCCTTTCAGATCTGGCCCTTCCCAGATGTGCTGGAGTGCTGTCTCATTCTGCTTCACATCGGGGCCCAGTGTCCTGGCAGCGTAACCCAGGACATGCAGCAGCAGGCCCAAGAGCTCCTTCAGAAATATGGCAACACTAAAGTTTACAGAAAATACTGCCAGACCTTCTGCACGTGAATTTTCAAGGACCTTTAAGGAAACTGTGCCAAATTCCAACGTACAACACCCTTCACCACCGTGACACCGCGCCAGACATTCTCTTTGATCCCTAGATGTTTTTGCAGTGATCCAAATAATACAAATGAGGGTCAAGTTTGAATTGACTCTACCCCTAGACATAGTGGAATCGGACTTTGGACTCAATTGTGGTTTCCTACTGGAGGAAAAGATCATGAAAAGCTAGAAGTAGGTATTCAGAACTAACACCTGCAGTATGATTCATTGTTGGTCATCTGTAAAGCCTTATGCAGGTTTCACCCAAAGAGGAGAAACTTTTTAATCACCCAAAGTGTTACGTTCTTAAACACAAACTACCTTTATAAATACTTTGCCTGGTGGTAAATGTGCCATTCTTGTTGGAGATAGAATTGATATCTTTTATGACTTGGCTTGTTTTTTGTTGTTTGTTTTTTTTTTTTACTGTTTTTGTTAACTTGGGTTCTTCCCTTCTATTCTTTCAAAGACTGAACTTTGAATGTGAAATAGGTCTTTACCCATCGTGTTGACTCTACCCTCCATCTGAACTTTAGATCAAAAATTTGGTTTTGTTTCATGTAATTGCTTACTTGAACACATCATTTACTAAAGCTTTAGAAGAACAAATAACTAAAACTCAGATGTGTCTTATCCCTTCAGTTTTATAAGAAATTATTAATGGTGATCACAGTAGCTCAGGAAAAAATTGCTATTTCAGTGGTTCTTAATCTTTTTTCGATCATAGACCCTTTGAGAATTAGAACCACAGATGCTCTTTGAAGAATAATGCATAATTTTGTGTATGTAGCTTTTGGATTATTGGACTCCAGCATAATGGGATCCTATATACTATTTAATTATAAATCCTTGTTCCTCCT